TCACAGTTCTCCGCTTTAAATTGGCAGGTTGCAGCGTCCGAGGGTTAAGATTGAATGTGACCCTGCTATAATTTTCACGAGATCCAGAACTGTTGATCCTAAGCGCTGACTCGTGTGAGGAAGATGGAATCATTAACAGACAACGCCACCATTCGTCTTTGTCATGATATCGATATAGCGCTCTGCTCCAACGCTTCAGACGGTATGGAAGACAATGAACCCAGTCTGAATAGTCTGGAGGGCAGCGGTCTGATCAGTCCTGAGGTAGGTCGTATCGTCGAGATCACACTGGCCGTTTTCATCAACGGCAGTCTCAGCTGTGTTGGCCTGGTCACCAACATGATAAATATGGTCGTGTTTGCCAAGCATGGTTTCCGCGACAGTGTGACAATCAGTCTCATGGCTTTGGCCGTGGCGGACTTGTTGGGACTCGCATGTATGCTGAATATGTGTGTGTGCTTTGGTCTCATGGAGTTCGCAAAAGTCACGGTCATAGATCCGCTGGCCTTGGTGTATGTGGCAGGATCATAGCCACACGCCATGTTCAACAGAATGTCCACCTGGATCACAGTGTATATTTGTGTGGAACGATTTCTTTGCGTGTATGTTCCTCTCAAGGTCAGGTCTTTTATAACGCCAAAAAAGACAAGTGCGTACATCTTGATTATTTATTGTCTTATGGTAGCTTGTTTCTCTCATATCTATGCTACTTTCGGAGTGGAGTGGAGGTTTGATCCAAGGGTCAATGCCACAAGACTGATGTTTTGGGTGTCTTCAAACAGACGTGACATGGAACATATTGCTGCGGTCTTAAACGGAACTATCTTACCTATCTTGGCATTGGCTATCATCATCGTCAGCACATGCGCAATGGTGACTAGTCTAAACAATTCCTCCTCGTGGAGGGAACAGCATGCGGGGATACCACAGTCCAAACAAATGAACACAGGAGCGCCGCCCAACTCGCCAGAGAGACGGGTTGCACGAATGGTCACAGCGATCGCGGTAATTTGTATTTTGTGCACTGTCCCAGAAGTGATTATCAGCATAGTTCGTCGCTTCTTTCCGGAGTTGGACGCGAACCGACGCTACCGCTATACCAACGTGATCATGTACTATGCCAAGTATACAATTCAGAACGTGAATGCTTCTGTCAATATAGCGATCTACTACCGAATGTCTTCACGTTATAGACAAGCGCTTAGGAGCATGTTCTGTTTTGACAACGACTCCCACTCCGTTGTTGGGGAAAACAGACAATGAGAGTAAGACATTAAAAAGCATAAAATCGGGGCACAATATGGAAGAAATCAGTGAAATACTTAGATGTGAAAAAATCCCATTTCAAAAAGAAAATCCAAACCAATGCCCCCTTCTCCCCATCTCTTTCTTTCTCACTCTCTCTCTCTCTCTCTCTCTCTCTCTCTCTCTCTCTCTCTCTCTCTCTCACTCTCATTCTTTTCGTATGTGTGTGTTTGTGTGTGTGTTTGTGTGTGTGTGTGTGTGTGTGTGTGTGTGTGTGTGTGTGTGTTCGTGTATATGTGCTTACAACGGTGTTTAAATGCTTTCTCGAAGCACTCGAGTTTCTTTTTTTCTGTCGATCAACATCTGTGTGGCTCTAGTTTTCCCAAGGACTTGAGTAGATGTGGTTATCAGAAAGTCCCAAAGTGCCACAGCTTCATGTTACAGGGTATTATCTACATATTAAAAGTTGGTACAAATGAATGTTGACCAGAAAGCAATGGGTTTTTTTCATATTGCGGCTTAGATATTATCTTCAGTCATAAAAGCAATACAAAAATGAAATGCCCACTTTCTTTTGGACACCTTTTTGAACCTTGGATTGAATCATTCCTTGATTCTGACTTTGCCGGAAGTGAGCGAGGATAATGTAACTGTCAGATCCAAGACCAAGATTTGCTCTCATATTTTGTTTGGGAAAGGCCTGTATTAAAACATCACTATAACATTTATGGATTTTTAAAATGCAAGGAAATTGAAAGAGACAATGTGTTTTGCCATAATTGTATTTAGATTACATTATTATATGGTCGCTTTTAAGCACAATGTGGCTATCCCGAAAAATGCTGTTCTGAGAAAATCGAAGGTAAAGTTTTTGGACCCATGTTCAGTTTCTTTAAAACATAAGGAGAGTTTTCCCTATAACCAAACAAATATACACACCAATGGAACCAAACTTCTCCTACACCAAGGGCAATGCCCACTTTTGGTGTAGATCAAGATTTCTGGAAACCCCCGAAAATCTGGGTTAGCCCTCTCGTCCATAAAAGCGACCATATAATACGTATGATTGGTATTGTTGGATTGCATTTTGCGTGCATTGACATTCATTTTTATTTCTGGTGTTTCAATGAAAGTCTACATGTAATTTGTGCGCAAATAAACAGAACCAGAAATGTATAATTTTGTTTTAATTATAAATGCTCAGATAGGAAAACTATGGCAAGCCCCCAATATAAAATATATTTACCAAATATAAAATACAACGACAACAACAAACTAAAGCTTACGTTAGTAATCGTACAGAGTCGTTATTGACATACGGCAGACTCAGCCTTTATTGGAACGATAGGTTTTTTAAAATTATATTGTTATGGGTACAGTAAGGTTTTTTAAAAAGTTTAGTACGGAGTTTTACGGCGCTCGCAACTGCATAAGGTCGTATGAGCGCACGGTACGTTTGATGTCCTCTACCAGTGACTCTTTTTAAAAAGAGGGAACCTACTTTTTAAAGTCCGTCCGTATTACAACAGAACAAGTTTCGGAGCCTCTGGGCTATAGGGCAAGAGTCTCAACCAGTAAGTCAATCTTGACGCCAGGCGATGAGTTCCGATATTAACCGATGTGAACGTCCAAATCCACAAAGAAGTAATAAAGTTAAGTTGGATGTTCCCATTTCACTTCTTTATTGAATCCCCTCCATCCCTGAAAAAAGCAACAACAACAGCAACAGCAACAATATAAACAACAACAACAACAAACAAACAAACAACAACAACAACAGACTGCCTCACCCGCTACCCAAGAGAGTCGGTGGCCCTGGCGAAGAGCACGCTATTCGGGGCTCCAAACGTTTCGAAAGGATAGGCTACCACACACACACATACACACTCACACACACAACAACAACAACAACAACAACAACAACAACAACAA